CGGAGCGGACCTCGCCCGCCAAATCCAGTCGCGCCACACCTAATGCAATCATATGGCATCCTGCAAGCCACATGCATGTAAAGGTGGGAGGGGCAGAGAGAGGGGGAATGTAGAGAGGAGGAGAATGCAGAGAGGAGGGGGATGCAGAGAGAGGGGGAATGTAGAGAGGAGGGGGATGCAGAGAGAGGGGGAATGCAGAGAGAGGGGGAATGTAGAGAGGAGGAGAATGCAGAGAGAGGGGGGATGCAGAGAAAGGAGGAATGTAGAGAGGAGGGGGATGCAGAGAGAGGGGGAATGCAGAGAGAGGGGGAATGCAGAGAGGAGGAGAATGCAGAGAGGAGGGGGATGCAGAGAGAGGGGGAATGCAGAGAGAGGGGGAATGCAGAGAGGAGGAGAATGCAGAGAGGAGGGGGATGCAGAGAGAGGGGGAATGTAGAGAGGAGGAGAATGCAGAGAGGAGGGGGAATGCAGAGAGTGGGGGAATGTAGAGAGGAGGAGAATGCAGAGAGGAGGGGGATGCAAAGAGAGGAGGAATGTAGAGAGGAGGGGGATGCAGAGAGAGGGGGAATGCAGAGAGAGGGGGAATGCAGAGAGGAGGAGAATGCAGAGAGGAGAGGAATGCAGAGAGAGGGGGAATGCAGAGAAAGGGGGAATGCAGAGAGAGGGGGAATGCAGAGAGGAGGAGAATGCAGAGAGGAGGGGGATGCAGAGAGAGGGGGAATGTAGAGAGGAGGAGAATGCAGAGAGGAGGGGGATGCAGAGAGAGGGGGAATGTAGAGAGGAGGGGGATGCAGAGAGAGGGGGAATGCAGAGAGAGGGGGAATGTAGAGAGGAGGAGAATGCAGAGAGAGGGGGAATGCAGAGAGAGGGGGAATGTAGAGAGGAGGAGAATGCAGAGAGAGGGGGGATGCAGAGAGAGGAGGAATGTAGAGAGGAGGGGGATGCAGAGAGAGGGGGAATGCAGAGAGGAGAGGAATGCAGAGAGCGGGGGAATGCAGAGAGGAGGGGGAATGCAGAGAGGGGGAATGCAGAGAGGAGGAGAATGCAGAGAGGAGGGGGATGCAGAGAGAGGGGGAATGTAGAGAGGAGGAGAATGCAGAGAGAGGGGGAATGCAGAGAGAGGGGGAATGTAGAGAGGAGGAGAATGCAGAGAGAGGGGGAATGCAGAGAGAGGGGGAATGTAGAGAGGAGGAGAATGCAGAGAGAGGGGGGATGCAGAGAGAGGAGGAATGTAGAGAGGAGGGGGATGCAGAGAGAGGGGGAATGCAGAGAGAGGGGGAATGCAGAGAGGAGAGGAATGCAGAGAGCGAGGGAATGCAGAGAGAGGGGGAATGCAGAGAGGGGGAATGCAGAGAGGAGGAGAATGCAGAGAGGAGGGGGAATGCAGAGAGAGGGGGAATGTAGAGAGGAGGAGAATGCAGAGAGGAGGGGGATGCAGAGAGAGGAGGAATGTAGAGAGGAGGGGGATGCAGAGAGAGGGGGAATGCAGAGAGAGGGGGAATGCAGAGAGGAGGAGAATGCAGAGAGGAGGGGGATGCAGAGAGAGGGGGAATGCAAAGAGAGGGGGAATGCAGAGAGGAGGAGAATGCAGAGAGGAGGGGGATGCAGAGAGAGGGGGAATGTAGAGAGGAGGAGAATGCAGAGAGGAGGGGGATGCAGAGAGAGGGGGAATGTAGAGAGGAGGGGGATGCAGAGAGAGGGGGAATGCAGAGAGAGGGGGAATGTAGAGAGGAGGAGAATGCAGAGAGAGGGGGAATGCAGAGAGAGGGGGAATGTAGAGAGGAGGAGAATGCAGAGAGAGGGGGGATGCAGAGAGAGGAGGAATGTAGAGAGGAGGGGGATGCAGAGAGAGGGGGAATGCAGAGAGGAGAGGAATGCAGAGAGCGGGGGAATGCAGAGAGGAGGGGGAATGCAGAGAGGGGGAATGCAGAGAGGAGGAGAATGCAGAGAGGGAGGGGATGCAGAGAGAGGGGGAATGTAGAGAGGAGGAGAATGCAGAGAGAGGGGGAATGCAGAGAGAGGGGGAATGTAGAGAGGAGGAGAATGCAGAGAGAGGGGGAATGCAGAGAGAGGGGGAATGTAGAGAGGAGGAGAATGCAGAGAGAGGGGGGATGCAGAGAGAGGAGGAATGTAGAGAGGAGGGGGATGCAGAGAGAGGGGGAATGCAGAGAGAGGGGGAATGCAGAGAGGAGAGGAATGCAGAGAGCGGGGGAATGCAGAGAGAGGGGGAATGCAGAGAGGGGGAATGCAGAGAGGAGGAGAATGCAGAGAGGAGGGGGAATGCAGAGAGAGGGGGAATGTAGAGAGGAGGAGAATGCAGAGAGGAGGGGGATGCAGAGAGAGGAGGAATGTAGAGAGGAGGGGGATGCAGAGAGAGGGGGAATGCAGAGAGAGGGGGAATGCAGAGAGGAGGAGAATGCAGAGAGGAGGGGGATGCAGAGAGAGGGGGAATGCAGAGAGAGGGGGAATGCAGAGAGGAGGAGAATGCAGAGAGGAGGGGGATGCAGAGAGAGGGGGAATGTAGAGAGGAGGAGAATGCAGAGAGGAGGGGGATGCAGAGAGAGGGGGAATGTAGAGAGGAGGGGGATGCAGAGAGAGGGGGAATGCAGAGAGAGGGGGAATGTAGAGAGGAGGAGAATGCAGAGAGAGGGGGAATGCAGAGAGAGGGGGAATGTAGAGAGGAGGAGAATGCAGAGAGAGGGGGGATGCAGAGAGAGGAGGAATGTAGAGAGGAGGGGGATGCAGAGAGAGGGGGAATGCAGAGAGAGGGGGAATGCAGAGAGGAGAGGAATGCAGAGAGCGGGGGAATGCAGAGAGAGGGGGAATGCAGAGAGGGGGAATGCAGAGAGGGGGAATGCAGAGAGGAGGAGAATGCAGAGAGGAGGGGGAATGCAGAGAGAGGGGGAATGTAGAGAGGAGGAGAATGCAGAGAGGAGGGGGATGCAGAGAGAGGAGGAATGTAGAGAGGAGGGGGATGCAGAGAGAGGGGGAATGCAGAGAGAGGGGGAATGCAGAGAGAGGGGGAATGCAGAGAGGAGGAGAATGCAGAGAGGAGGGGGATGCAGAGAGAGGGGGAATGCAGAGAGGAGGAGAATGCAGAGAGGAGGGGGATGCAGAGAGAGGGGGAATGCAGAGAGAGGGGGAATGCAGAGAGAAGAGGAATGCAGAGAGCGGGGGAATGCAGAGAGAGGGGGAATGCAGAGGGGGGGAATGCAGAGAGGAGGGGGAATGCGGTGAGGGTAGCGTTCTGGAATGCAAAACATATGCACCAAGAGGGCGCCTGGATGAAAACGGGGCAGGAGAATGCGAGGGGGAAAAAGGGCGGCGAAGAGAGGGAACCAGGATGGGCGTAGACCGCGTCTACGGGGGAAAGCGGTGGGATTGCGGCAAGAATGCGGCGGGGATGCGGCGGGAATGCGGCAAAAATGCGGCGGGAATGCGGCGGGAAAGCGGCGGGAGCGCAGCGGTAAAGCGGCGGGAATGCGGGAATGCGGCAGGATAGGGGATGGGCGGATCACGTGCAAAGAGAAGTTCCCGCGGGGAACACCAGCGGGGAACACCGGCTGCGGGCCTGGAACGGCGAGAATGCGGCGCTAGCGAGTGAAGCGAAAAGAGGAGGATGGGGAGCTGGGTTTGTGCGCGCGACGAGGGAATGAGCCGGAATGCGCGACGAGGGAATGCGCACGACGAATGCTACGGCGGGAACGCACTGCGGGACAATGCGAGTCGAGGCGCGTAGCTACGGAACCGGGCGGGCAAACGAGTGCGACGAGGCGCTGTGATTCGTTCGATTGCACAGCAATCTAGTGGTAGGGACACCGTACTGAGCATGCTAGTCATCTACAACTCACCTAAGGCGTCTTGGATGTGTGCGTATGGATTGCGTTGAGTGGAGTCGGGCGAGGGTCGTCGAATGCAGAGAGGAACGAGGCGGCGGTTTGGCGTGCGGAGCAGAGTCGCGGCGAACCGTGAGAATCGTTCGGAGGACGCGGTTGTGCAGTTGAACCGGTTCTATGGCGGCCTAAACTTAGCCCGCTTGAAACCGATGTTTCAGATTGCTTCAGGCCAATGCAGTGGCTGAGGTTGACAGGAGGAGCTCACGAGAATAGAACTGAACGGTTGCTCTCTCTCGGCAAAAGCTCAAGTCCGTGATACTTGTGAACAAACGCAAGGTGTTGATTGCGAACAGGAGTAACTTGGTCCCTCGCCGTTCGCAATTTTCGCCAAACCACGTAGCGTGTGGATTCCCCCGCTTTTACCCGATGGTCGCGCGACGACGAAAGTGTGTGCGTCACGAAAGAATCTCTGACAAATGCGTCCGCGTCACGTAGTGCGCCGCGACAAACCATCCAATTAAACCGTTGCAATCGAATTGACAAGCCCAACCACCAACCAAAAACTTATCATGTAACGCTTTACAAACATGTAGTAAACCATAAAGGTATGGGCCTAAACAAACACAATAAATACAATCAGTTATGTTGAGAAACAAAAATATAAACTAATTTCATATAGATAACAATAACCATAACATGGGAAAATAGTGTAAAGTTTCATAAGATACTAATCGCAACGCAATCATAGTCGCCTCGACATGGCCGCATTTCGCAACAGTAGGTATACAGGTTATACAACAACGAGGATATAGGCCCAGATAGCCACACAATGGAACAGAAACGAAGGGGAAACACTGCTGCACGGTTTGCGTGGGCAGAGGTGCAATATCCAGCGCGAACAAGCCCCCTCGACAAACACCCCGAACCATGTTGAAACAGCCAAGCCTGGGACTCGGTCGAGCACGGAGAATTTGCCACGTACGCTGCCACACCTACCCAGAATCAACAGCACAGAACCTTCCAGGCCAAACCCAACCGTCAACACTCACGGAAACCTCTACCTCCTGTCCGAGGCAAACGCCCCGGGCTGTACCTGCCTGACTCGGGATTTTTCCGATGGTATCGCCTCGCGAACTTCTCGCTTTGCCACCCAGCGAGGTAGCAGATTGGTGTCCTCGCCATCGTCGCAAAGAAGTTAGTTCTCCACCCTTCCTTACGTTTCACTACGACGAGGATTCTAAGCGATGGAACTAGCGCTCATATCTATGTACAACGCGGACGCGGGACGTGGTCGGCAAAGAGCTCCAGCATCAGATCAGGGTCTCTGACTTGTCAACCAAAACAAGTTGAGAAACTTCCCCCTCTGTCGCGAAGAAGCTGCGCTATAAGCTTCCATGCTTACGTCGTCACAACAGCGGATTCACAGCAACTGGAAGAAAAGTGGGAGTCCGAGTGGTGCGAGCAACATGAGGCACTGGTTTCCTGGTGTGATTAGATTAGAAGCTCAAAGGCTGCGCTTAGAACACATTTCTCTGATCGGTTGGTTAGCCTTGGCTGTGAGCCATTATTCCCACGTTTGCAGCTTCAACACACGACGGTTTTCTCTGCTACCGCTGAGCTTCGCAGAGCTGAACCCAGCTCAATCTCGCCGTCAGATAGCCTTTCCTTGAGTGGGCATTTCCCTCCTAGAGTTGTTTGGGGAGAAACATGCGTACTGAGGACTTCTCATCTCTCGAGATTCGCCAATGTAAGTGCAGATTATTGTCCCCTTCTCGTGGTCTAGTGCTGCCGTTTCGCGAGCGTGTGTGATGCATTCTGAGCCTTCGTGCAGATGGCGTGCATCAGGATCTTCCTGAAGCACCAAGGCGACGGTTTCAGCCACGAATCTGGGCGAAGCTGACCTTTTTCGTGGGTGCTCTGGTGCTGATCTGCTCGGGAGTCTTTACCATCGTCCTCTGGAGGCTGTCCAAGGCAACAGTGATGGGAGAAATTCGGGAGAGGCTTGACACTGTTGCAAGCCTTCGTCAACAGCAGGTAGAGTGCCTAAGATGGCAATCGATTTTGTGCGTTGCAATTTGTCACGCTGTACGATTGCTCATGCTCATTTCTGTTCTTGTTGATTCAGATACTCGGTTACATCACAGGAACTCAAGACACGGTCAAACTGATCATGTCTCGGGTCGTCCTGGTGTCCCTGCTTCTCACGCACAAGCAAGGAAAGAAGAATTTGACTCGGAGTGATTACAGACAGGGCATCGAGAATCTAAACATTGTCACAGTGAACGCAGCTGGTGTGGTATCACTAGGTGCTTACAGCGAAGAGGGCGAACTTCTGTTCTCCATCTCACCGCCTCCAGCTGACTTGAAGCCACTACCCAGGCGCCTGACTGGACAGGCACTGACTGTCAAGAACCGAGATACATCTGTATGGACTGGAATTCTGCGCACAGGGCAGAATGGCACATTCCTAATCAACGTTGCAGCTGCTGTTCACCATCAGGTACTTGGTGTCTTCAAATTATATGGTTTGCCTCATTGCTTTGTCTAACTCGTTTCTTTCTGATCCTAGTATTCTCGTCTATTGATCTTTCAGGCGACCTTCTGCGGGATTATTTTGGCAAGAGTTGATGCCAAGAAATTCAGGCAGATTGTGCAAGATGGAACCGGCCTTCAGTTCACGGGTCAGCTTCTTGTTGCCAATGTTTCGAAGGGCAAGGTCGAGGGCATGGTAAACTTCGTTGTTCCTCCTGATAAGACTCCCTCTGTGACGAATTCAACCTACAAGGGTGCTGCGTTCAAGGCAGCAGAAGGCCAAGTTGGATTTTTTTAAGGAGCAGACTTCCGTGGAGTTGAGGTCGTTGCTTCTTACCGACCCATTGGACTCAATGGCTGGGATATGCATATGCTCTGTGTTTGAACGTTTCTAGAAGGGATGTAACATGCATCACTTTTTTACTATGGGTCTCATTTCTTGCACTTACCTGCGTGCCTGCAGGTCTGGCAGCCACAGTCGAGAAGGCAGAAGCATACAGATGCATTAAGAAGCTTGAGAGGATTATTCTGATCGATATGGCCGTGATCTTTGTGCTGGGGGTCCTTGCAGCCCATGCGTTGGCCACGGTATGGAACCGTTATGTATGTAATGTTGCTGTCTTTTGGATTACCTGAAAGAAAGAAAGTGGCCAATGTGTTAATCATGTTCGTTTGCCGTTGTGCAGTATTTCTCTCGGCCAATCATGGAGCTTGGTGATGCAGCAAGCAGGCTTGCACGGGGTGACTACAATGCACGAGCCCATGGACGGAGAGGCTGCTTGAAGGATGAGATTGATGATCTCTGCTCTGTCTTCAACTACATGGCTGATCAGATCTCCTCGTCCTACTCTACTTTGGAGCAGAAGGTATGTCGTCACACATCTGGTCGTCTCTTGCTTTATTTGGTTGGTATGGTACTGTTTTCTGTAACATTTACCTCAAGCACACCTTTATTGATTCAGGTGGTGGAACACACCCAAGACCTAGCACTGCTGAACGAGGGTTCATCTGCTGAGGTGGATGAGAGGAAAGCGATTGAGTTGCAGCTTCAGGTTGCGAAGGAGCAGGCAGTCTCAGCAGACAAGGCAAAATCACAGTTTTTGGCAAATATGTCCCACGAGATCAGGACACCTTTGAATGGCATCATAAATTGCACAGAGCTCTGTTTGAACACTGCTCTCAGCTCTGAACAAATCGAGTACCTTGAGCTGGTACGCATATTTCCCTTGGTGGGGATTTTGCTACTTGACTTGTCGCTTAAGTTCGTGAATGGAATAATAACCTTTCAATCTTGTGTGTGCAGTCTCTGTATTCAGCCAAGCATCTCCTGCGACTGATTGCTGATATACTGGACTTCAGCAAGATTGAGGCTGGAAAGATGGATTTGGAAACTATTGGGTTCTCATTAAACAACCAGGTCCGTTGTGTTGCTAATTTTCTTCCATGTGCAATGTTTTCAACTGTAGCCAAAAGTGAAATGCCGTTTTTTTGTCTTTACAGATGGAACAAGCAGTACTTGCATCCAGGGCACGGAAGAAGGGGCTTGCACTTGTTTCATGGCTCAAGTCCCCAAACGTGCCAGAAGTTCTCTTGGGTGACCCAGGACGACTAGTTCAGATTTTTATTAATCTTCTGGGTAATGTATTCTGGCTGTACGTTTTGTTGCGTTGCTGCTCCAAACAACAACTCATGACCGTTTTTGTTGCTGCAGGGAATGGGATTAAGTTCACTGATAACGGGGAGGTTGTGTTATCAGCAACTCTTGTCTCCATTCAGGATCATAATGCAGAAATCCTTTTTGCTGTCAGAGACACAGGTTGGTACTTCTACATTGGTTTTTACACCACGTGTTCTGAGCGAGTCGTTGATTAATGCTTTTGTGTTCCTTGTCTGCCAGGAATAGGCATACCTCAAGCTAAGCAATCACATCTGTTTCAAGCGTTCAGTCAAATCCATACATCAGATGCAAGGTCAGGCGAACTGCTAACATTTCCTATTCAATTTCCCTCTCATGTGGCGTCTCTCTTACCTCCGCTCAGTGTTTTTGCAATTCAGGTTGTATGGGGGGACGAGTCTTGGATTGATGATCTCGTCCCGCCTAGCAAACGCCATGGGTGGACAAATGTGGGTTGAGAGTGAAGTGGGCCAAGGGTCAACATTCCTATTTACTGCCAAGTTCCTTGTGCCAGCCACGGCTGCTACTCTGTCAACACTGGTACCATGCAGTGCTCTGGGGCCAAATTTGGACCAAGTGCGAGTGCTGGTTGTTGATGGCAATGAAGCAATCAGGAAGTCCATTGTCTCCACTCTCAAGGTAAGGACAGTACTTTGGCGACAATGAGTTCCAAAATAAGTGTTTCGTGGCATGTAGGAGAGGTTTGTTGTCGTAGTGGTGCTGCCCATTTCTAGAGGCGTGACAGCGGCTATCTGTGGCTCTTCTTGTGACTCGTCTTGCAGAACTTGAATGTCGATGCAGATGATACAGGTGATGCGGCCTTGGCATTGCAAATGCTCGAAGAAGCAGCATTTGATGGGTCCCCATATACCCTGCTCATTGTGGATACTCAAATCGGGAACAGAGACCCCTGTTCCCCCTCCACCAGCTGTGTGTGGCTGCTGCGCCATATCAAAGAGCAGGATCTTCTTTGCCGAGTCAATGCTGGAGGTAGATTCATGGAGGCCTGCAACGGGTTTGGTGTTGCACAAGAAGAGGAGGATTCTATTGGCCACCCTGAGTCGCCCACACCAGCGTGGATGCTTCCGTGGGAAGGTGACGGCCAGAGGGCCTTGTTGGAGGAACTGAACGCATCTGCCAGTCACAAGCTGCAACCATCGCAAGCTGTGTTGGAGTCAGCCAGACATTTCAGTGAAGCGCTGCAGCAGGAGCGCAGTCAGGCACATGCTTCCTGCACCGCAAATGAGGGAGATCTGTTTCGGGCTCCAGATGAGGATGGAGTGCTGCCGATTTTGCTATTAACTCCTGGAATCTCCAGTGATAAGACTTTGTAAGTGGTCATTTCACTGTCAATGTAATTGGTTGCCGCTCTGTGGTGTTTGTAGTACTTATCACTGCTTGATGCTCGACAGGTGCAAGGCTCTGGGCGTGCAGCTGTTTGTCCCAAAGCCTGTAACGAGGAAATTGCTCTTACGACAGGTCAAACAGGCATTGAATCTTTCACTACAGGTGCAGCCTCCGTCTGACCCCTCTGACCCTGCGACACGCAGTCCTCTGTTTAAATTTGTTCCATGCATAGCAATTTCTGCATTTCCTGGTCTTACCGCAGGAGCCTCACTCTGCCTCAAATTCCACTTTTTCGGATGGCGTAACTTCAGCTGCAAATGGCAAGCGGCTGAAGATTCTAGTTGTGGAAGACAATGTTGTGAACCAACGGGTAGCATTGACTCTTCTGCGCAAGTGGGCATGAGGCAGTTTTGGCCAGCGACGGTGAAGAGGCTGTGGAGAAGGTTCAAAGAGAGGCCTTTGATGCGATATTGATGGATGTGAGTTTCACAACTTCACCTTTCTCTCCCATTCGTTTTGCAGGACTTGTCTATTTCTGCTTGTATTATTTCTTCTTCCTGCCTGATTCACCTTGAAACTCTTCACCTTTTGTCATGCAATTTCAGGTCCAGATGCCCGTATGTGATGGGCTACGAGCAACAAAGATGATTCGTCATTACGAATCAACGAAGAACTGCCATACGCCCATAATCGCTGTAATGGTTTGCCCACTTGTCACCAGGCTTGTCAGCTCAGCCCATTTTGACTTACAAGGCTGCGCAGCGTGTCTCTGGTGCAGTTGACAGCGCAAGCTCTCATAGGAGATGGATTGAAGTGCATCGAGGGGGGGATGGACTCCTACATGAGCAAGGCTGTAAGTTAGTGCTTCCAGTCTTCACATATGATCACTGTGCTGAGCTGACGTGGACTCAGGTACTGTATATGTTCAATGTGGTTGTCTTGCAGCTCGATGCGTCCAAGTTGAAGGACCTTTTGAGGTGTATATGCCTATCACATGCTCTTCCCAAGCCAGCCAATGAAAGTGCCCAGAATTGCGACAGGGAGTAATTAACTTGGGATGTCAGTTCTTGAGGGTGTTAAAGCCAGTGGCTAAAATAGTAAAGGCTGGCTTCAAGAGAGCCCCTCTTGAAGTGGGGCACACTTGAACTTTTTTTCCAAACATAGTGTTAGGAGTGCGTGAAAAGTTTCAGCGATACAGGGCAGAGTCGAACGGCGTCTGATGCAGACAAATCCGTCTGTGCGACAATGAGAGAACCCAACCCCCCTCTACGATCGGGAGCGCGACAGTTGTGGCGACCAGACTCGCAATTGAAATCCAGGCGTGTTCAGGGTCGAAAGCAGGGCAAGGAGCATCCATCAAACCATCCAAAGCAGATGGAACGCACTGTGACGAAATACCCGCACGAAAGACGCGAAATGGTTACAGAAGGGCGAAAGGTTGCGAAACAAGGTTTATCCCCAGCACAAAATACGCCGAGGCCAAATCCACTTGTACCAGTTCCGCTGGAGTGAGCAAGTACTCGTGATTCGTGACCACCCACCCTATAAGCTGCGTGCTCTATGGCAGGCATAGGACTAGCGGGCCCACATCTGAACCTCCCTCGGAGGACCGCTGGCCAGCGCATGCATTGCACATGATGCGCACGCACACCTGCTGCGTCGAGGACAACATTCAAGACGGCGAAATGCTGGTGTGACTATACGAGAGCATTCGGCATAGAATAGACAGAATTAGGATAGCCCCTGGCTTTAGGGTACCGGAGCACGCCACGAGAGTGGAATCTTCGCTACCGCCACAGGCGCGGCAAAGTCGCCGCGACGACCGCAACCAGAGCCACGGACTAGAGCGTCGGGCAGCGGGCAGCGAGCAGCCCTGCAAAACCTATTAAGCTTCTTCTTCCCCCCATCTCTCTCAGCCATTGCCTCTTCTCCCCCCCATCTCACTCAGCCATTGCCTCTTCTCCCCCCCATCTCTCTCAGCCATTGCTTCTTCTCCCCCCCATCTCTCTCTCAGCCATTGCTTCTTCTCCCCCCCATCCCTCTCAGCCATTGCCTCTTCTCCCCCCCATCTCTCTCAGCCATTGCTTCTTCTCCCCCCCATCTCTCTCAGCCATTGCCTCTTCTCCCCCCCATCTATCTCAGCCATTGCCTCTTCTCCCCCCCATCTCTCTCAGCCATTGCTTCTTCTCCCCCCCATCTCTCTCAGCCATTGCTTCTTCTCCCCCCCATCTCTCTCAGCCATTGCTTCTTTCCCCCCCCATCTCTCTCAGCCATTGGTTCTTCTCCCCCCCTTCTCTCTCAGCCATTGATTCTTCTCCCCCCCATCTCTCTCAGCCATTGCTTCTTCTCCCCACCATTTCTCGCAGCCATTGCTTCTTCTCCCCCCCATCTCTCTCAGCCATTGCTTCTTCTCCCCCCCATCTCTCTCAGCCATTGCCTCTTCTCCCCCCCATCCCCCATCTCTCTCAGCCATTGCTTCTTCTCTCCCCCATCTCTCTCAGCCATTGCTTCTTCTCCCCCCCATCTCTCTCAGCCATTGCCTCTTCTCCCCCCCATCCCCCATCTCTCTCAGCCATTGCTTCTTCTCTCCCCCATCTCTCTCAGCCATTGCTTCTTCTCCCCCCAATATCTCTCAGCCATTGCTTCTTCTCCCCCCCATCTCTCTCAGCCATTGCTTCTTCTCCCCCCCATCTCTCTCAGCCATTGTTTCTCCTCCTGTCGAGACGGGAGAGGAGGAAACGGACGAGATGCGCGACGGGCGAGAGGGACGAGATACGCGGCGGGCGAGTGGGACGAGATGCGCGGTGGGCGAGAGGGAGGAGATGCGCGGCGCGCGAGAGGGACGAGATGCGCGGGGGGAGAGAGGGACAAGATGTGCGGCGGGCGAGAGGGACGAGATGCGCGACGGTCGAGAGGGACGAGATGCGCGACGGGCGAGAGGGAAGAGATGCGCGATGGGCGAGAAGGACGAGATGTGCGACGGGCGAGAGGGGAGAGAGGGGAGAGAGTGGTGGTGTGGCCTGTTCGATGCGCCAAAACTTTGCCGCAGGCCCGCGCCGATCACGGAGCGGAGTTCCTAGCCTCGCGGCGCACAGACTTTCCTAGGTACTTAGGCAGAAAATAGGCATACCACCGTTTTTTCCGCTGGTGGGGTAGCTCTACCCTGGTGTCTACACTGTACCTAAGGGCGTGTCACCAAAAATCGTTTTTGCAAAATACCATACTAAACCGCTCTAGAAGTTTATTTGACCGTTTTAAAACATCTTTGCGAACCGCAATCGGACGTACTTTAGTGACACGCCCTAATACAACCCGAGCCCCTCTTGAAAGTGCCGGGAGGGGTTTGGTCGCATGGCACAGTCGCCAAGTGTCGTGCTGCGAAGTGCAATATGTCGTATGCTTCGTTTGTTTTGTGCAAAGCGTGCAGATGTTGTCGCGCGCCAATGATTGTCCTCGCTGGACATCGCTTTCAGTTTTCGGGTTTGTTAGGCTGTCGTTTCAATGAATTGCAATATCTTTGTCTAGTGGAAAAAAATAACAAGTTTCAAGAGAGCCCTGGGTTTTCCTTTTTAGCCAGTGGCTTTAAGGAAGGTGGTCAATAAGATTTGAGCACCGAGTGTTGCTGAAGCGAGTCGGAAGTGACCCACTGTCAGAAACCCAGTCACTAACCATTGAGTTAAAAGGGCTTGTTAATAGCGTGCCAGTGCACCCATAGCTCCCCAGGCTCTGCACCTGTGGCCCTTCTCCGAGGATCTTCTCAAGGATAACCCCAGCGGGTCACTCGACACCCCCCCTCGCTGGGATAGGTGGAAGATACGAGTGCCTCTGCAGCGCTAGCACTGGGAATTGAACCCGAGTCACCAACGCTCTGATACCATGTCAAAAACTCAGTCACTAATCACTGAGTTAAAAGAGCTTGTTCATAGCGGGTCAGTGCACCCATAGGCCCCCAGGCTCTGCACCAGTGGCCCTTCCCCGATGATATTCTAAAGGGTAACCCCAGCGGGTCACTCGACACCCATGTATCGTCTTCGCTTGTATGGTCGGCCCAGCGGACAAGAAAATTCACATGGCGTCCGATGGTGTCGAGGCGGACACGATGAATCAAAGCCGGAAAGGCTCAAGGGTCGGTTCGGCCATCGGGCGGACACTTGGGACGGCTACTGGTCGGGCGACTGCTAACGTACTGGCGACGTAGGGACAAAGGAGGCTGATGTGGAATGCGTCGTTAATTCGCCACTTGCCCGGGAGTAATAATTTTGCAGTAACAGGTGCCTGTCAACATAAATTTTGTATATGTTATAGGCTAGACAGGTGCAGTCTTGTATAGAGTACAACCCCTTAGACAAAACCACCCTGTATCTCTCATTCTATTCAACAACTCTACTCTAAAATGGTATCACGTGCTAGGTTAGGTCCTCCCCGCCCACCCGCGCTTCTATTCTCGGCCTAGCCCTAGCCGCCCGTTCCTATCCGCCCCTCTGCTAGCTGCTCGCCGCTCCCCGCTGCTGGCCGCCCGTCGCCTCGTGCCGCCCGTAGCCGCCAGCTGCTCGTATCCGCCAGCCCCACACCCGCTGGTCCCGTAATCGCCAACTACTAGCCCGCTGGCCCCATGCTCGTTGGCCCCGCGCTTGCCAGCCCCGCGCCCGCTGGCCCCGTAATCGCCGGCCCCCAGCTTGCTGGCTCCGCACTTGCTGGCCCGCGCTTGCTGGCCCCACGCTGGCTGGCCCCGCGCTCGCCAGCCCCGAACCCGCCGGCCCCTCACTCGCTAGCCCCGCGCTCGCCGGCCCTGCGCTCGCTGGCCCCGCCAGCCCTGTGCTTGCTGTCCCCGAGCTCGCTGGCCCCGCGCTCGCCAACCCCAAGCCCGCTGGCTCCGAGGTCGCCGGCCCCTCGCTCGCCAGCCCCGCGCCCCCTAGCCGTCCTGCCGCCGAGACGCCACGACGCCGTAACGCTGCGCCGTCGAGCCCCTCTACCGTCCCGACCTGCCGACCTTGGCTCCACTTTGAGCCGGCGCTCCCGCTGACTGTCTCCATCGCTCTTCACCGCACTCCATTGCTCTCCACCGCACTCCACCACTCTTCAATGCTCCCCATCGCTTGTCCAGCGGTCCTGGGGGTGGCATCGATGCTGGAGAGGGTTCTCGATCTGGGGGTGCTGACGAGGAGCGTCCCAGAGGTATTCGTGGTGTAGCTGGAGGTTCTGGTGTCGGTGCGGAGCAGCAGCAGTAGCAGCAGTCGCCGCCGGTGTCCGCCCTTCGCCTCCTCGGTCTTCCTTCCCCTTACCATCCGCCTGCGCCTCCCCCGTTGCCGCCTCCCATGCCTATCTACGGCCCTGTGTTTCCACCGCCGGACTCGACTCAGGCTCGTTTCCCCCCTCGTTCTCCTCCGGTGACTCCTCCTGTGTCACCTGGCCCGACGCATCTGTCCCACTTCTGGTCTCGTCGTCCCTCTCGTGCTTGTCCTGTCTCTACTGTTCAGTCCTCTCACCCTATGTTGTTCCTTTCCCACGCGTCTCGTCCACGTGTCTCCTGTCGCCTCCTCCATCATCACTTGTTTTCACTCTGCCTCCTCTGTTGGACTTCCTTCGTGCGGCTAGTCCTCTTGTTCCTCGGGTCCTTGTCTCCCTCGTTATCGACCCGTCTGTTCTTGTCTCGAGTCTTGACGTTCTTGTCGCTGCCGTCGCTGACTTTGCCTCTACCTGCCGCCTTGACTACGCCACTGCTCTGGTCTCTGACCTTGCCTGTCCTCCGTCCGTCGGGGATGCTCCTGCCCTCGGCAGTGATGTCCTGGAGGACCGGCAGTACGAGCTCGCTTTCCTGTCCGAGGCCGCTCCTCATCTCTGCTCCATGCTGCTAGTCCCTGAGGGTGACCCAGACACCCTTGACATCCCGACCCCTTGCACTTACGCTGAGGCAACCTCGGGACCCTGGACCTCTCAGTGGATAACTGACATGGACGCGGAGATGGCATCTTGGAGATCCACCAGCACCTACATGGCCGGTGGCTCTTCAAGGTGAAGCGCCCTGCTCGAGAGCCGCCAGTGTTCAAGACGCACTACGTTGCTAGAGGCTTCAGTCAGCGCGAGGGCGTTGACTTCTTTCAGACCTTCGCCCCGACCCCGAAGATGACCACTCTTCACGCGCTGCTATACGTAGCAGCACAGCATGACTACGAGCTGCA